GTCACGACTTCTCACTAGAACTCCAAGAAACTCCATCCTGTAGCAAGTCACTAGAGAGCATTAGATTAATTTTTTATAGTTTGGTTTGTAAGGGTTAGTTGTGTTTTTAGGAGTTGATCACTGGTAGGTCATGGGTTCGAACCTCAGTGGGTGCGTACTGCCGATGATTCCCAAACTAGGATGAAACAGCAGCTGTCTAGTACTCCCTGGTTTTCAATGGTTCTCTAACTGATATCAATCCATGATCAACTCGTAAAAACAAAACTAAACCTTACACACCAAACTATAGAAAAAAACAACTGTTTTAATTTAGGAGTTCAGTTCCTACTCAAATGAACTTTCTCTGTAGGCATTTTCAGTGCATCGAAATGAGCGGTGTGTATGCATAAACTTTTAATTTAATTTAAATTTCTCATTAAAGCTTTAATCCACATCTTATTTTTGGTACAAGTATGGGATTTTCAGCATGTGATATCGGTAGCCCAAATTTTGCAGGCCGACCATTGATATCAAGTTTGCATCGGCAGGGAATCGAACCACGGACCATATGCATAGTCGGCGAGAGTCCTAACCATTGTGCCACCGACGCATTTTTTACGAACATTTCACTTTCCTAAATACTCTACCGATTATATTTGTTCATAATGAAGTTCATTTAACAATAACGCTGTTTTAATCACCGTCCTCAAAACATACGTGACGCAAAAGCATATCGGAAGATATAAAGTAGACAGACTGTGTTATCTTCACTGCCAAATTATCTGTTTCACATTTCAACCTTATTGGCAAATTAAGAAGGCAGGATCGAAATAATGTAATTGATGAACATGAAAGACAAGATGAATTACGATTCCGTTAAACTGCCGATGCTACTTACTAGTAGTACAAAATAATTTACTAATTTAATTAGGTAGTTTATTTGAGTTTCGCTCGCTTTTACGATTCCTATGCTCATGTCACCGAGAAATTCTTCATGTTCACTGTTAAACAAATTACTTACTTGCATTATTATTATTTCCTTGGGTTCCTAGTGGAACATAAGGCTTCAACTGCACGTCTCCACTTGCTTCTGTCTTGTGCTGCTGTACTTTTCACCTGCATCCATGTTAGTCCATACTGTTTCAACTCCTCTTCACACGATCTCCTCCATGTCACCCTTGCACCGACTTCCCACTCGCCGCTTCTCTTTTGAATTCCATTCGAGCAATAACTTGATGCGCGCGTGATGTCACCCAGCGGCCTCCTCAGTGAGCGAGTGTCTAATCCATATCCACTTTCACCTGCATATTTGTTGGTTGGCGATTAGTTCTTGTTTTGTTTGTTTCCTTAGTTTCTTGTTGGTGATTCTTTCCGGCCCGGCCATCTGATCTGCAGTATAGAGCGAAGACAGTTGTTGATGATGGTCTGAGTTAGCCTGTTGGAAATATTCTTTGTGACCCTCCAAGTTTCTGATCCGTAAAGAAGAGGTGACTAACTTGACGTTTGTATTGAAAATCCGACTGGATTTGTTGTTGATGTTGAGTGACGAAGATTTCCAGATTGCATACGTGTGTTTAAAAAAGAGTAATGTAATGTCCACAATAAGCCAGCATATTGGGAACATATTGCGTAATTTTCCCGACAAGGTTATGCTCTTTCTCCCTTATGTCTCTAGTAAATCCACTACTGCTAGAACACTTAATCATCAGTATTCCATGTTGTGCTTACCCTTAGGAGGTTCGGGAGGAATTAACTGAGAAGTGAAATTTTCACTTTCTAATTCAGACAGAAAGTTGATGGAAAGAAGTTATAAATTTACTCAGGACATATTCCCAACGTTCGACATCCAAACAAGTGAAATATTTTTAATACCTATATCACAACAAACAGCAACGCACAAAATACTAAAATCCAATGTGACATACCACTCCTGGCTTTTATTTCAGCAACTTACTAGGTAAGCAAAATATGCCCAGCAGATAACTGTAACTTTGTCGTTGTGGTCGAGCATGAGTACTACAGTGACCCAACAAACTAAACTGGCTGGAACTTAAGTCAGAGAGGTTGTTTGGATAACAGTTAGACTAAGAGCAGTTACTGTGGGGTACATAGAATCTCCAGAATCCAATCTGATCGAACGGTGTATGAACCTGTATTGGTCACTGGTAACCTTGAGAACACAGCTCCTGATGCTGCCTTTTGGATAGGACTCCAAGTAAAAGGCTCAGGAGTGTTCCTTTAAGACAACCACCTGCTTCAGTCTGGGCGCCCAGGCAGTATCCCAGACCTCGTACCAACAACGAAACAACAAATAATGAGGAAAATTAATTACACGCTGACGAACAATGATGATATTTTTGGCAACGTGTCTCTCTTTAATCCTATTTTTATGAATACACTTTTATGTTTTATTTTTACTATTCTTGATGTCTTCACTTTCGTCCTTGTCTGAATTCTCAGCATATCTGTGCTGTTTCGAGTTGTCAATGAATAGTCTTCAAAATGGTTGTCCCCACTGCGACACCTAACACAGATATCCTGAAACCACGTGTTGCTTTCAGGTTTGCCACCTACAATGTTTGGACACTGATGCAAATCGGAAAACAGATAGGTCTGGTGAGAACCTCGAGTATGCAGACTAAATCGTCTAACTCTGCGATAACATGCAGGATACCCAAATCGCATCTAATCAGTTGGCGATCAATGTCTGTATGTATGATATATGCTTGCGCTGTCTAAGTGCAAGGTACTGTTACAAGTTTAGCGGGAGCCTGTACCTGCACTCACTCTTGCAGGTGAACACCTTGAAGTTGTCGATAAGTTCATGTATCTAAGTAGTTGTGTGAGTGCTGATGGAGGTGTGACGTTTGAGATTTCCGGCCGCATCAAGAAAGCTAGGCTGACATACGTCAACTTGAGCCACCTCTGGAACCGTTGCGACACTAGTCTGGCTGTCAAAGGCCAAATTTACAATGCTTCGGTGCGCGCTGTTCTGCTCTACACCTACGAAACCTGGCCTCTCCAAGCTGATGATGTATGGCAACTCTGTGTTTTCGATCACCTGTCTCCGTAGAATTGCTTGCGTTTGATAGCATCACCATGTGAGCAATCCCGAGGTATGGTGGCGTGTTTCGAAACAGTGGAGATCACTAAGCATTGAGTGTCATCAACTTGCAACACCCGCTCCAGTGGCTTGGACATGTGCTACGAATGTCATACAAGAGGTTTCCGTACCAGTCTCTGTCCATTAGCCCCGGGACTAGATGGAAAAAGCGGTGGTCAGATCATGACATGGTGTCGCGGAACCAAGGATATTCTTAGTAAATTAGCATCAGTTGGTGCATCACAACTCCCTGGTTGAGGTCTGACGGACAGTTCAAATCGGTGGCTCGAAACGTTATGGTATATGGCAAAGAATCACAAACAATGGCGAACGTGCTGTTATTCCGTTTCTGGAAATAATTTGACGAATCCCCCTTGGTCTTGTCAAATATAACTGCTTTCTTCCGAGATAAAATCCCTTATTCACTCTTTACCTTATATTTTTTCTCTTATGTTTCATTATTATTATTATTGTGTGGCTCACCTTCTTGGTGACATTGTATCAGGTTTTCTTATTTTAGATGAAACAATAAATAGGTAAGCAAAATAAGCGGTTTCTTACACAGCTAGGGGAAAACATAAGATCTGCATACCCTTGAGTCGTCTTAACGCTACCATCGTTTTAATGGATAAAATATCTCAAAGAGAATAAATCACGAATATATATATATGCAATATTGTGGTGAGAGCAGGCTGTCAGCCAAAAATTGGTAGACAGTAATTAACGTCAATGTTTACGTCCCCAATATTGGCAATGAGAAAAATAAGAACAAACACTGACTCAACAGCCAATCACAGCAGACTTTGCGTGGGCGGATACAATTTACAGATAGATAATCTGAACTTCAAGAAACGGCCATAAAGTGATGAAAGATTAACAGTCATCGAGAAACCACCAATCAGCAGACTGTTTGTTTGCTTACAATAATCTATAATAATGTACATGAAAATCTATAAATATCTGTTGATTTCCTAAATAAACGATCTTTTGCCTGGCCCTTGTCTTCTGTTGTTTCAATATGACCCTCTTCTAAACCAGGAATATTAACCATTTCAAAGTGTGGTGAGAGCTGGCTGTTAGTCAAAATTGGTGGACAGTAATTTACGTCAATGTTTATGCCCTCAATATTGGTCGTGAAAAAATGATAACAAAGGCTTTTGGTAGGCGGATACAGTTAGCATATGGATGATCTGACATTCGAGAAACAGTCACAAGGAGATGCAAGGTTAACTTTCTGTGAGAAAGAACAAAGCAGAAGACTATGTCTCTCTGCTAACAATAATCTATAATATGTACATGAAAATCTATAAATATGTGTTGATTTCCTTAATAAACGATCTGTTTCCTGGACCTTCTCTTCTGTTGTTACAAAAGGACTAATCACTAAGGCAGTGAGTGGACTTTGAATGAGTGGGATAAATGAAACGTATGTCATAACGTAAAACCGACAACAAGAAGATAATTCTAATTTTAAATCAGCAAATCACTATCTCAAGCTTTCTGATATCTTAGCGATGTTTGTCGTAAACGGTAGAATCGTTATTGCTACTTACTTAGAAACTGTTTTGTTGTAATAACAATTACTCTATGTGAACGGACTATTGTGAGATAAATGATACAAATATTCTGATAATACTACAGCTTTAACCGCCAACCGCCACTGATCACTATTGTTATTCAAGTTCTTTCTGTTTATACTAAAAGTACGCTTCAACAGGACGACTATATGTACTGTTGTTTTTTTTTCCTTCACGTTCCCCAGTGGAGCATAGGGCTTCAAGCTAGTGACTTGAAGTTTCGGTAGCAGTGTTTATTCTACTGGATAGGGTTGCTAGCCTCATGTCCAACCTTTCCTCTTTACCAGCTTTTATTACCGGGTTAGCGAGGTAAAGGAGTGTGTCTGTGGCCGGAGATCGAACCCCGGACCATATGCATGATCGGCAAGTGTCCTAACCACTATGCCACCAACGCACTGTTTTTATAATAGACTGTTATGAAATGAAACGGCAAATGAAATTACAGAGAATCTGTGACTAAAACCTAATTTGCTCACTGAGCTACGAATTACGCCTGTGTAGACAGAAGACATGCAAAGCAAACCAAAAGCACGCGTCATCGATTCTAACCTATAAACCTACTCATTAAACTCGATACTGTGAAATTACTTTACACTGGAAAATAATTTAATCAACAACTAATCTCGAATACAAACATAGGGATTGTACAACATATTCACAAAAAAGCAAAATATTGAAATCTTTACTATTAAGGAACAGAAATACATAAAATCATAAAAATGTACAACTAGGAAAGATTTTTACATTGTGGAAAATCTTTTTTTAAAAAAAGATGATAGTAGCTGAGAGAAAAAAAATTAAGGCCAGTCCAAACTAACTGCACTGTTAGCTGGTGATACAGATGGAGTTGTTAAAGTAATGCTTTCACAAGTGTTGAAAAATGTTGATGCCAATTCTTTGGCAAGAGACATATGGATTCCTGTTAATAAAGAATGCATTTCAGGGTTGATGCTTGTATTGTTACAATTAATGTCTAAGTCTGCTCTTAATTCAACAAGAGCACTAATCAACACTTCCACTTGATCTCGACGTAAGCGATTCCGCCCCAATAAATGCCTTACTTCAGACAGTAGTCTTATTTTAAGACGAGTTGGTATACGTAAATCGATACTTAAGGAGGAAGAATTTTTCCAATCTTGTTTATCGGTATTGCAAGTAGAAGAAACACCAGAACTTGTTGTAACTAAGAGATCAATAAGTCGATCAACTGCACTTTCGACATGACCATCATTAAAGCATTGTTGGAGTTCGGAATAACGGATCAAAAAAGCCAATTCAGGTGATAAGGGAAGGCGACTGACCTGTGTTGCTGGCGTATTGTTGCTTGAAGATTCATTATTAAATGGCAATGTTCTAAAATACCCGAGGATTATCGCTGCCAATTCACTAACTTCTGAACACATAGAATAGGCAGCTTTTTGATCTCCATCCGATATATCCTTATTCATAAATCCACAATCTCTAGCAAGAGAAATCTCAGCCAACCGATTAATAGTGGGATAATCATGTGCAAATAAAGCCCATCCAACTGCCATGCATGTCGGAGCACATACAGGTATTAAATGGTTGGTGTTTTCATTGGATTGCAAAGACAAATTTAAATATTTACGACAATTTAGCTTGGCTATATCTTCAACAGTAGAATGTAATCCTCTAATTTCGGCTTGACTGATGAACTATTTAAACACAAACAATAAGATAATTATAATAATACAAGTACATAAAAGAGCAACTAAAAAAATGAAAAAGATATGTCACAAAGACAGCTATAACAAACAACTCCATATAATCCAAAGCTTTATTTTGTATCATAACAAAACTATTTAACTCACTGTAATTTAAAATAAGCATTAAGTGATAGACGTATCAAAAAACAACATAACTTGTGCACTGACTCTTTATACACTATCAAGCGTAAAAAGATACGGCTAGGGTAAAACCTATTCCCATTAATCAACGGAATTTAAAAGGTCCTATCTAAATTACTAATTCGACCATTGAACATACATACTACAACATACCGTCAACATTCATGCTTCTCACAGAATATTCCTATAATAGTAGATAAACTTGTATACCTATCAGTTATTATTTCCTTTAATTCCTAGAGGAACATAGGGCTTCAGCCTCATGTCTCCATTGCGTTCGGTTCTCTGCTACAGTTTTCACTTGGCTCCAAGTCTGCCTACATGCTTTCATCTCCTATTCACATCACCTACACCTCCAAGTCATCCTCACGCTGACGATCAACTCACCGCTTCCCTTTTGGGTTCCTCTCGAGGGCTTGACTAGTGATGTCACTTGATGGTTTCCTCAGAGTATGGCCAATCCACTTCCATTTCTTTCTGCTTATTTGTCGCACAATCAGTTCCCGGTTGGTTCGCTCCCAGAGATCCCTGTTGCTGATCTTTTCTGGCTGGCCAACTGGCCTTGAGTAGCGTTGAGTGAAGGCAGCTGTTGATGAAGGTCTGTAGTTTGTTTGAAGTGGTCTTTATGACTCGCCAAGTCTCTGATCCGTATATAAAGTGGCACTGACTTCACATTGGATTTGAAAATCCAGATCTTATTTTTCATGCTGAGTACTGTTGACGTCTACACAGACTTGAGAGTAATGAAAGCTTGTCTTACAGGATTTCATCATGAGCTGACATTAGTTAGAGAACCATTGGAACCAGCTCATGATGAAATCCTGTAACCAATCAAATCCCTGCAAACCAACACTTGACGTGAATTGACAGAAAGTTAGAATTCATGGGCCATTGGATCGGGTCCCAGTGGTTTAATGGTATACAAGCTCGTCTTGTAACCAGAAGGTCCTGGGTTCGAATCCCCGTGGGTGCGTACTGTGAAGAGTCCCAAACTAGGCTGGCGAAACAGCTGCCTAGTACTCCCAGGTTTTCCAATAGTTCTCTAACTAATGTCAGCTCATGATGAAATCATGTAATCAATCAAATCCCTACAAACCAACACTTTAAAGCTTGTCTTGCTTTCCCAATCCTCGCTTTGATATCCTCGACAGTTCCACCTGTAGTTGAAACGATGCTTCTCAATACCTATCAGTTAACTGACAGAAATCTAGTTCTGTCACATGTGAAGAGGAGAAGTTAATCGATTGAGATGGCTAAGACACGTGTTACACGCATACCAAGCCAACGGCCATTCTCAACGAATAACGTTAGCCGACATAGCACAAGGCTGGAAAAGATTTAATGGTGCTCAAGTCAAAATATAGTATTGAGCCATAAAGTATTTTATTGTTTACTAGAACCACCTAGGGAAATGAAGACTGACTGGTTGGGGTCCTCAGCATGCTAAGAACTCATGGTTAGAGACCGGTGACGTGGTTTAAAAACATTTTCAATTGAGTAGATGTATTCACACTTTAAGAACTCCCAGACCCCATTCCATTCTTATCATTCTTTCCTTTTATGCATTTCTATTTATTATAGTTCCATTTGCATTTCTTCCTCTACCTTTTTTGTGTATAACTCCATGAAGTGTGACAACCTAAAATGTTCAACTTTTGTGCAGCTTTATGATGCGGTGAAAATTCCGTTTACTTCATAGTTCAATTACGTAACTAAAGATTATGATTTGGAGGATTTGCAAGTGAAAGTTTGGAAAACCATTAAGATGTAAAGACTTAAAGTTTAGTAAAGTTTAAAAATAATAGTTACTATTATAAGTAAATATGTATAGATAGATACACAACAAACACTTACCCAGTTTGTAGCTCTAGTTGACACTGGCCGAGCATGTCTCAACAACAAGGTGGATTGGAGTGGTCGGCCAAATTTACAATAATCTAAATATCCAAGTGCAATAGACAGTAAACAAGTTTCTGAAGACAAAGACTCCACATAACTCAAAAGAAAAGATTCAACTATCGAAACCTTCTCTTCACCTTGATATGATGAACTATTGAGCTCAGAAGTGGGTTTAACTGAACCTGTAATAAACAAATAATGTAAATATATATATATATATATATATATATATATATATATATATATATATGTGCAAAACTTGGGTACTGTAGTAGAGTATGCAATTCCATTTTAATTTGTTTATTAGATATATCACACAGTGAAACAGTATTAGTATTTACTGGATGACAACGTTTCGAACACAATTTATTACTGTTCATAATCATTTTATCAATTAAATACCACACAACTGAAACTTTCGTCTTATGGTTGTCGTTTCTAACTAAGAACTTGAACAAATTTGAACAAAAGTGCCACTAGAGGACATAATTGCTTGGAGTGTAGCTATGTCTGACTTCCACAATATTTAAATTTCCAAGGGAAAATATACAGACAAACTGAGGCAGTTGCCATGGAGCCACCGAAATCCCCAATTGTGGCAGATATATTCATGGATAGGTGGGAAGTTAAACACTAGTGTTTACAAGAAACCCACACATTCAAACCAATATTTGGATTTCCAATTATCTCATCTTATGTCATTAAAAAAAGAGGATTGATGGAATGTTTAAGTTGTAGGGCACAAAAACTAAGTGGTACACCAAGGAAAATTTAAGATAGGAAGTGAGGCGCATAAGAGAAGCTTTGAAACTTAATAATTACCTCTATAAATTAATCAGCAAGTATGTAGGGAAATGTAAGAATAAAATATATAATAATAGTAGTGATAGTGATGATAATAATAATAATAACAGTAATAGTAATATTGATGACTACATGCATGTCAAACATGCGTAGGACTGTGGCAACACCAACAATACGGAATCTAAATCAGTAGTAGTACTTCCATACAAAGAAGGAACCTCGGAAACTTTACACAGAATTCTTAATAATGCAGGAATAAAGTGTCTGGCATTCAAACCCACAAACTCAATTAGAAACAAGCTTTGTCGGTTAAAGGATCCTTCCAGTGGAGCCTTTAAAACAAAACAATTTAGTTTATCTAATACCCTGCCTGAGAGGATGGTCAGGTTAAATACATAGGTCAAAGTAGTAGAACGGGGTCAGTCAGTCAGACTAGTCGAGCATAACAACCTAGTAAAATAAAGATAAGCTGATCCCAGTAATAAGATGAGAAATCTTTTTTTATTTATTCTTGATTACAGCTTGATTCCACACTGTATTTTTGGTACAAGTATGGAATTTTCAACATGGATAGCCGACCATAGATATCAGGTGTGGGTCGGCTAGGGATCGAACCTCGGACCATGTGCATGGTCAGTGAGAGTCCTAACCACTGTGCCACCGACGCACAGAGGATAGTTCAGCTATAGCAATTACACACAACCATACAATAGGATGGGATAAGGTGACAGTTTTAAAATCTAATGTCACAGGATGGAGGGAGAGATTGATAACGGAAGCTTTATAAATTAAGTCAACTGCAAACACGTGTAATAAGAATGATTCAACACCTCTCCACCCAGACAGAAGATACCTTCCTCTCAAATGTGATAAAGATACCTCTCAATATTAGGATGGAGTATCAACAGAGTATAGTTCCATTGTGGGTAAAATTTATTTTGATAGAGCCTTATAATGTTATGCAGTAATATTTAGTGAGCAATAAATGGTGCTCAAAACATCATCAGTAGATATTACTGTATAACAAACACCCTGAGACTTTATCGAAATAAATTGTACTCACGATGAAATTATACTCTACCACAGTGCCCAAGTTCTGTTCTTATATTAACAGAGTAATTTAACCATATTCTATGCATGTAATTATTTAGGTCTTCTAATCCTAACAATAACACTAATCTTTTCTGAACCGAACCGTAACGTGAAAATATCCCTAAACTAACTGTGATCTAACTCGAATCAAACATACTATCACCTTTGTTAGGTTAACCTAACTTTAACTTGTCCTTGGTTTAAAGGATAACTTAATCTTTCCCAAACCTAAGCTAAAACTTGCCAGAAATCTCATTTAATAACACAATATTTCGATTAGCATATTTTATTGATGCTGACGACATTATTTGCTGAGTTTCACTAAATTGCTAAGTGGGCGTTTCAAGGTCATTGGTGCGGTCGCACTCCATTGCTAGTTAGTGGTGTTTAAAGTTTAATTTCGCCCAATACGATAATGAACACTTCCACAAAAATGATGAAAACTTAGGTTAAGGAGAATGCAAGCTAGGGATTCAATGTTCGATATAGGTAAACAAATATCCACAATACGAAGGTTCAGTGAAACATTCAACTTAACGAAATATATGTATATATTTTAAGAAAACCAAAAATTCCGTAGCCAGGGAATTAACTCAACTAACGAATCCTTAGACAGAAAGTTAGTGAATTAATTGCTACTTTGTTTTCATACCTCGCCTTTTTTTTCCTCTGAGCTGTTCATAGATTCATGAACATAACTAATGCTAAACATATTTCTTCTTACTTTGATTTGACAGTAGTAACAAGTGCGATGTGTCTAGTCCTCCCATTGGTGCAGACTGAATTCTGTCAGTCAGGTTGTAATGTGGCCACTATTCTAGGTGGCTCGCCATCACGGTACACGTTGATTTGATGATATTAGATGGTTGGAGGCATTCGGCAGGAAGCCTTGCCTTGTCAATATCATATTTCTCCTTTCAAGATCATTTTGTACTTCTAAAGATTTTGTCGTACTTTTTCGATTAGAACAGGGGCCAATAATAATGACCAGTCCTACAGAACCAAATTGTATTTTGTTTGTTGTTTCTCATTTCAACGGATCTATAAACACAAAATTATAAACTTCTGTTTGCCTAAAACTTCAAACTCTACTGCACTGATATCGCTTTGAATTCAGCTTACAGATGGAAGAAATGACTATTTCGTCAAACATTTTGCTTATTATAATAAATTATTCATTGACCTTTCAGGTGACACTCTATGGTCGAGTACCAAGGTAATACTGTTACATATATATATATATATATATATATATATATATATATATATATATATATGTAATCAATACTCAGGCAATTATGGTGAAGAATTATTCAACGCAAAAGCAGGATGAATCCATTAGGTTAAATGTAAGTACGGAAATTTAGTTAAAAAAAAATTGGATGCTGACGACGGTTAAATTTAAATAACTACCCTCAACCAACAGAGTATTAAATGTATGTAACGCACCCACTGCCACGGTTTAAACCCAGAACCTTCTGGTTACAAGGTGAGCTCGTAGACCGTTAAGTCACTAGGACCCTATCCAATGGCTCATGGTGAAATCCTCTAACCGAATAAACGAAATCCTCCCCCTCCCAAAAAAAACCAATACTTGAAAATTGATCTGATGCTTACTAGCGAATGGCCCTATTCAAGCAGCTACCTGGCATTTTAGTGGAAAACATAACAAGTAAGGTACAGAAGGTTGAAGGTGAGGCAGCAACTTATAGAAGACATTGCGAAGTGGTCGCGCTATCTCGTGAGTTGGCAGAAATTAGAATTCATGGGTTGTTGAATCGGGTCCAGTGGCTTAATGGTCTACGAGCTCGCCTTGTAATCAGAAGATCCTGGGTTCTAAGTCTTGAGGTGGATGAGTACTCCTGAAGAGTCCCAAACGGGGCTGACGAAACAGCTGCCCGGCAGGTTTTCCAATGATTCTCCAACTGATGTCAGCTCATGATGAAATCCTCCAACCAATAATTAAATTAGTAAAATATATCATCTTACAATAGAGAAAATTTAAAAAAACGAATGATATCACAAATAACGCGTCATTTATCCACCACTTAGGTGAAAGCAGGTTACAAGGAGCCATTTCTTTTCGCAGAAAACAATAAATTTCGAGAATGACATATTTTGCTTAGTTTACTTTTGGGAAATATTTAATCAACATCTTACCTTTTTTGTGCCCACCTAGACATTCATTGAAAATACCCGGATATATATGATTTAGAAGATTTGTAAAGTGTGCGATAAACCAACAGTTGCCCAACTTTTCACTTGATAGGTGAGTAAAGGAAAGGAGATCCACACGGAAAATGCTTGTAATTATAGCATCAACAGACTGTAAAAAAAATCAATAACAAAAGCAACTTAACAGTTATATTTGTATACATCTCTGACAAAATAAAACAAGCAATGAGCAAGATAAGTGAGAAGAGTTTATAAAGCCTTAGAATTGAATGTAAATATGCATAGCTCTCATAACGATTTAGTTTGAGGATGGTTTGAATAAGTACTTTCAATTTCGAAAAGTAGTATTTAATATAACCAATAAGGTGATGTGAGTAAAGGAGAATGATGCTCAGGAAGGCTTCGTGTGCTTTCGGAAGTGTGTGGACGGCTGCACCCCCACACCGTGGAAGTTGATTGATTCTTCGGGTACCTGAAACAGAAAGAGTGTTGCGTGACTGCAGAGCCCAGGAGATAACTGCTTGAGGCCGGTCACACACGGCCTGTATGAATTGGTTTCTGGGATTGGTTCCGTATTAGTAAACTTACCGCCGGTTACGGACCACCGTAGGGTAAGTCGGGGTGTACAATTTTTCGGGTCGACCTTTTCTAACCTCCCTCTCTCCAGAGTAGATAGACAGCATAGCTAGTTGGCATGTTGGTCATCTGAGGGAAACACCTCACTGCTGTTACACCCCTGTTCCCCAGCAGTACGACTTCGCCCTCAGACCCCCCGCAAAGTGTAAGAAAGATTCTTACACAATGCTGGTAACTGTTTTTAGTCTAATCACTATCCTAACAACCCTCCTGGCATGGTAGGATCTGCAGGAACATATGTTCCAGCCAGTGTAGCTTGTTGGGTCATCGCAATGTGCAAGTTCGACCACCACGTCAAGGTAGCAGCTATCGGTCGGGAATATAACCTATATATGACCGCATTGCTGAGTATAACCCATAAGTCAGCAATGCGACATTGTGACTTATTCTATTAGGGTGCTTAATTTCCAACTAATGAGCTACGAGGTCAAACTCAACTTCACCTCATGAGATTTGGGTAATCAGGTAGGACCGATCACCAACCTTCATACAATAGGTGCAGTTCAGTTAGTTTTGGTCACAAATTGGCTTTAGTTAGAGGATCACTATAAACCCCTCGTTTGGAACTCTTTGGTGATACGCACCCGTGATCCCATCAGAGATAGAAATGAGGGTCTTCAGGTTACACAACAATCTAGTTGACCATATAACCACTGGGCCAGAATTCAATAACTCGTCAATTCTTAATTCGTTAATTCACAATACAGCGTGACCGCCAGCCAATGTAATCGGTGAGTATCTGTTCTCACGTCCAACCTGGTGGACTCTATTGTTCACAACTTCCCAGTAGAACTCCAGACAACTTCATCTTGCAGTGAATTACTAATAAGTACTGCCAAATGGTCTTAAACAAGAACAAAACAGCTGTCTAGTACTCCCTGGCTTACAGTGGTTCCCTAAGTGAAATCAATTCATGATCAAAAGTGAAAGCAATTAAATGCCTGCAAAGCCAACAACAATTGAAAACTATTAATTTAATTATTTCACAGCCACTTTGAATTTAAGCGTTACTCACAATCGTAAAAATCACGATTCCGGCTTGGGTATTTATTTGTGAATTTATGTAAATTAATATTTATCTTATTCCCACAACAAACATGTCATTGCCTTCCTCGACAGGCAATGTTAGCTGACATAGGGTCAGGTTGGAAAAGAGACACTAGCGGTCAAACCAGAACATGGCTTCATCAGTCAGTGAAATCCTCAGGTTATATTTTAAAATTTTTGATTACAGCCTGATTCCACACCGCATTTCTGTTACAAGCAATGAATTTTCAGCATGTGATATCGGTAGCCCAAATTTTGCAGGCTGACCACTGATATCAGGTGTTCGTCGGCAGGGGATCGAACCCCGGACCATGTGCATGGTCAGCGAGAGTCCTAGCCACTGTGACACCGACGCACAGTTAGTTTAAGCCAAGTAGGAAGGTGCATTTCTCTTTACTTTCTTCTCTTGCTTTGTGTGCTAAATGGAGGGAGTGTGACAACTCGAACTGCTGCACATCGGTGCAAAGTTCTACGTCAAAACCAGTCTTCCGGTCTGAAATCGATAAAACACAGATTGAATGAGGAAAATTTCGGATAATGGTACACGCCTCCGTATTATTTTATAATCCATTGTTTTCTGTTTCCACATAACACTACGAAATGATGACTTTACCCAATCTCGTATCATAGATATTTCTTTACAATTTTAGAGAAGACTTGGCTATGCTAAGATCAAATAAAAATTATAGGAACTGATCTTAGAGGAAATATGGCTGAGCATAATGGTGTGACAAATTCGTACATCTATAATATACATGAAAAATAAAAAAAATCAAATACAAGGAAAGCCTTTAAAAGTTGAAGCTAAACTATCGCTCACCTGATCAAAATTTGAACCTGGTTCACTATTTTCTTTTGATGTTAAAGCTAACCACCGGTCAAGATTTTTACTGAGACCTTCGGCATTCACCATCTGGTCAGTGTAGAAGATAAATGACACAAAACGAAAGAACCATCCACGCGAACCTTTAGTAACTTCCAGAATTCGTGGATCATCCCAAACAGAAGTGCGCCCGGATATTATATTCACGATCAACTTTACATATTCGATTGAAATTGCATCACCACCAACATGTTCGAACTCTCCTGATGACATGCGATGCTGACACTCGGATTGCCAGTAATTCCAAGCCTGTGAAAACTGAGCACCATATTCAGTCCATATACCTGTTTTCAGAAAAATCAAGAGTTTAAAGATTTCCGACAGATATAAAGTTTAGTTTCACAAAGGTTGATGTAGAACACACATTCGTAATTGGAAGATAGGTAGTCAACTTTCAACTAGTGATTTATAAATTAAGACATTTGTCCACCTGCCGCATCTTCGGGAACCGAACAACATCATTACCCTATGTACGGTATGTAAAGCTGGCCGTCTAGTACACAAATCTGCACATGCATGGTGAATAACACTGCATTTAAAACATGCTAAGGAACATGCAAAATGCTCCGAGACATGTTTTCTAAATTAGTATTTACGTTGGCATAAAATATGAAGACATATATCCTTAGAAAAGCATCTCGATGTTTTGAAGTATACTCAGACTACGAAACACAACAAATTCTTTACTCACATTACATTACCACAGATATGTAGTACTGACTGAGTAAGATACATTCACACAAAAATTCCGAATAAGGATATAAATCAAATTATTATCAAGTTACTTCCATACATTTATGCATAAGCTTTCGAGCCGACGATTCTATAAACAACAAACGAAGCTGAAGAGAACATACAAATGGCCAATCATTCCCTTACAAAATTTGGTTCACACTGCAGTTTGTAATGGATTAGTAAAACATTCGTATAAAAGCTATTTATTTATTTTTAATTGTAGCTCGATTCCACACCGTATTTTTGGTAGAAGTATGGAATTTTCAGTTTGTGATATCGGTAGCCCAAATTTTGCAAGCCGACCATTGATATCAGGTGTGCGTCGGCAGGGGATCCAACCCTGGACCATGTGCACGGCCAGAGAGAGACCAAACCACTGTGCCACCAACGCAATGAATGTTTTGGTACTCTGAACGTAATCATGACGCTTAAATAAGCATATTTTAATGTATTGGATAGGTTAACTACGCGTCGGTAGCACAGCGGTTAAGACTGTTGCCGACCACGCACATGGTCCGAGGTTCGATTCCCTGCCGACGCACACCCGATATCTATGGTCGGCCTGTAAAATTGGGGCCACCGACATCACATGCTGAAAATTCCATACTTGTACCGAAAATACGGTGTGGAATCAAGCTGTAATCAAAAAAAAAAAAAAAATTAGCAACCAAATATTTCAAATGTATCAGTAATAAAACATTGATATCTGAAAAAGAAACCTACCTTCTTTTTCAGAATCCGAAGCGACTGGCATGGCTGACAAAAGTTGGCGGAGACTTCGAAGACCACGACCGTTAGAGTTAGAATGCAAAACAAGTATACTGGCTGCTTCTTGACATCTAGCTTGTAAAACCAAACTTAGGATTGTAGACCAAAAGTGCTGGTTATTTTCAAGGGATTTCGGCTTGTTTAATTTATCACGTATCAAAACACTATCGGTCTGCTCCTTTGAAACACTTTCTAAAAACTCCCGGGCGCAATTAGCCGCTTCTTGAGACTGTACGTAAAACCAACTACAAAGACTGAATGCCAAATATCCACACGGTAAGACCTAAAATCACAAACATCAAGAAAACTTTTCACATAAATGAACGCCGTCCACGAAGTTGCACTACTAACTCAACTTACAGAGAATTGGTGATTCACAGTATTGAAACGCACCAGGTACTCGATTTACAGCCAGTAAGATCACTAGTTCTAAGTTGTGCTTTTGTTACATTCAAAATCTGCCTCACCACCGAATATCGAAAGAGGTGTAAAGAGTCTGACTGGCATCCTCAGTAGGCTAAGAAATTAATGACTGAAGAATTATGAGATCAGAGGATGCATTGACCAATCGTATTTCTGCTCTCCACTAATTGTTTTTTCTCCTATTCACATGCCTCCCAGAATTATGCCTACTTAACCTAGTGAAAATCAGTGCTAATCTCCAAGTTGAATCACCTGTTAGGAAAGATTGTCAGTCTTCACACGTTTCTGTCCCATGAGAAGTATATAAGCTTTAAGTTGTCTGGATATTCACCTCACTGGTGGAAGGAATTTGGACAGGAAGAAATAGCTGTAAAAGGGACAAGGAACACAAACTAGGAAAAGGAGTTTTGGCCTGTCCTTATCTGATGGGCGCCAACAGAATAGTTTCAGCAGCTTTCTCGCAACCTTTTTGGCGTAATAACTTGAGTGTAACTAACATAACCTCTAGAGTAAAAACAATGGGCTGTCATCCCTTTTTCAGAAGATGTGTGCCTCTGTAGTAGGTTTTTGTCATGATTTCGTCTTTAATTCAGCTGTGGCATCACATACGTTTGCTGATATTAGATCTTTCTGTTCACCTACAGCATCCTGCCATGTAGTCTTTGACAAACAGTTAGGCCCCATATATGGACAATAAGTGGATACGTAACGTAAACACCCGATGGGCTCTCTCAAGATGTTAGCTGATTCGGAGGTCACATGTTGCAAAGATGTAATCAATGAAGAATAGTGAAGGAAACCTAATTACCAAAGAGGAGAAACCTTTACTCGCAACTCGTCTAGAAATAACACCAACAGTATGCAGAGCTGAAAGTGAACACCAATCCTCCGACAAAAGCAGAAGTACTGAGTGACATAAAGTTACTGAAAGACGGGAAAACAGCAGGGACAGACGGAATTCCCCCAAAATCATTGAAGGTGGAATAAGGGACCTCAGCAGATATGCCTACGCCACTGTTGCATAAGCTTTAGAAGGAAAGATACCTGGTCATTAGAAAGGCTATCTTATCAAACTCGCAATGAATGGTTACTTTGTCCCTTGGAAAAAACTGGCGCAGAATCATGCTCGAATCTACAGCAAGTCGCGCCATCTTGAAAAGACCGAAATATTCCCCAGGTGGGAAACTGTAACCGGAAAACACTGAATTCAAGAAAAATAAGTCAAGCTTGGATCAAAGTGCAGCACTGTGCATCACAATAAGACAAAGTCTAGAGTGCAAGTCAACTAGCCACCTCAAATTCAACGACTTAGAAAAGGAATACGACAGCTTTTATCTCGAAGTAATTTGACAACTACCATAAACATTTATAACCCTCATTCAAAGGCTATATGGTGATGCACATGTAAAGTGATTCACAACGGAAATCTCAGCAAAGCCTTTGAAGTGAAGAAAGGAATAAGACAGGATTGCCTACTATAGCCGAAGATATTCCTTATTGTGGTGGACTGGGTCATGCTGCAGACCGTTGAGAGCGAGAAGACAGAGGTACTTTAGATGGATAAGAAGACTCTGGAAGATATAAACCTCACAGATGATTTATGAATCATATCCCACAAAGTTAAAGATTTAGGGGCGAAAATCAACAAGTTGGTGGAAGATGTAGCGAAGACAAGACTTAAAGCGAACACAAAAAGAAGTGTTGACGTCTGTCTGTCTGTTTTCGACATAGAACTTCCCACTGATGTGCGGCAGTTCAAGTCGCCACACTCCATGTTGCACACAGGGCAAGAGAAAGTAGAAGAAAAGCATGATACAGACAGTAAGCAGGGTGTGAGGCAAAGGAAGAGTAATAACGAAGAACAAAACAGTTTCATTGGAAATCATAAATCACAAGGAGTGGATGCATCTGCGCCACTGAGAACGATTTTGAGCCATGTCACCAATTGTTTCCAACCATTTGTTGACGATCCATATTCAACAAGTATAAATCAATATTGAACAAGAAAAATCCAAAGGAAGTCACCTCTTTGACTTATCTCGACAGCGTCGTTTCAACTACAGATGACGATGACAAAGTCAGGATGGGGAAAGGAAGACCGGCGTTCATTACCCTAAAACTAATGAGAAAATTTGCTACACTCAGAATCATGAACAAGATTCGGATATTCAGAACTAACATCAAATCAGTTAGTTCTTCTTTATGTGTCAGAGACTTAGCGCGTCACAAAAAGCATTTCCAACAGGTTGCTGCACACTTCTATCAAGTTGCCTTCTCTCCTTACTGAAGATAAGACAGCCATAAGGAACTCTAGCAACAAACCAACCATATACTTATCGCCTAAATAATAGCCGGAGGAAGTGCAGCTGGATTGAACATACTCTGATGAGACCATTGAGTGACATCACATGCTAGAATTTAGGGTTTGATGCGAATGGGAGGTGACCAGTTGGGCGTGAGTTTAAGGACAAAATGGAGGAGATGAGAGCTGATGGACAATCACGAAACCAGACTAAAGACACTTTATGGACGAAATGGAGATAAGCTGAAAAACGTGGAAAATAACCATTGGGACATTCGGTTGAAAAAACAAGAAGTTCAGCACAGATATCTTTTCGGCGATTTCATCTTCTAAAACCGTGCAATCGCATTTATATACATTAGTTATTTACATGCATACAATCACTATTTGTTTAATTCCACATAGTATTGAAGGTGATGATAATATGAAAGTTTGAAGGTACGAATATAAATTACAAGGGGTTTCCGACTTCTTTGTACTGCGGAAGAGCTCACCATATGCATCAAAAAGACAGAGCTATGTGTTCAAAAGAAACTAGTCCAGCCTTTACAACTACCATGGACCTAGTTCGGTATGTTCCCTTATCCTTCAGTCTTTTTGTTTTTTTATCTGTGTGTAATTTTTTCTCTTTGCCTTCACCCAATTCATCCTATAAAATCCGTTATTTTAAGTTTGTTTCCATGCTCCTTCTGATCACACTTGTAATCCGTTTATGATAACCATTTTACAATTATACTCTAATCCTGTGTAATTTTTTGTTTCTATGCCCCTTGTAATCTATATTCACACTTAACTTACATTTCAAGTTGAAAATTTTGATTTCAATTTGTTTTCATGCTCATTTTGTTCACACCTGTAATTTCTTCTATCCCTGCGTAATTTTTGTCTCTGTCTGTCTGTCTGTTTTCGACATAGAACTTTGCACAAACGTGCGGAAGTTCAAGTCGCCACATTCCGTGTAGCACGCGAAGCAAGAGAAGAAAGTACAAGAAAAGCATAATAGAAACAGTGAGCAGAGTTGTGAGACAAAGGAGTAATAAAGAAAAACATAAACAGTTTCACTGGAGATCATAAGTCACAAGGAGTGGATGCATCTGCGCCACTGAGAACGATTTTGAGCCATGTCACCAATTGTTTCCAACCATAGATTTTTACCGTCCCGAGGACCCTAGCCTGGAAGTTTACACCTTCCTACGTGGCTTAGACCAACTGTTGTGGATTTCATTGACGGGTGCCAAGTTTTTGTTTGACCGCCGCTAGCTTTTTTCCAGCCTGACCCTATATCCGCTAACATTGCTCGTCGAGGGAGGCGATGGCTTGGCATACGTAACACATGTCCTAACCATCTCAGTCTTTGTAGCTTCACGACTTCGTCGATTGATTTCCCCAGTTTACCTAGAACTCGACGCCTAACTTCAATGTTGCTCACCTTATTATGCCACTTTACACGGGAAATAGAGCGCAGGCACCTATGATCAAAGACAGCTAGTCTTTTCATGTCTTCCACTCTCAGTGGCCAGGTCTCACAACCATAAAGGAGGACGGAGCGGACTGATGAGCAGTACACCCGCCCTTTGGTCGATAGTCGAACATCTCGTCTACGCCAGAGTCGGTGTAAACTAACAAATGCGAAACGAGCCCTCTGTATTCGTGCTGAGATTTCGTCAGAGATCAACCCGTTGGCACTGGCTGATGGTACTTCCCAAATAAGTGAAGCGGTCAACGTGCTCTACCACTTCACTTTTTATTTTTAAACTAGGCGTCGATGTATTCCAGTCCTGTAACATCATCTTACATTTGGCGGGAGCGAATCGCATGCCAAACCTTCGTAGATTGCGGCTCAAGGTGTTTAGAAGACTCTGCATTTCGTCAGCGTCTTCGCCTAGAAGGACTATATCGTCTGCATATTCCATATCAACGAGATTATTCCCCGGTAGCAAGTCAATCCCTGAGTCGCTGAAGTCACCTAGGGTTAAGTCCATTAACACATCTATGATGAAGTTGAATAGAAAAGGAGATAATGGGCATCCTTGACGGAAACTGTTTTGTATTTCTTTATTACTCCTTTGTCTCACACCTCTGCTCACTGTTTCTATTATGCTTTTCTTGTACTTTCTTCTCTTGCTTCGCGTGCTACACGGAATGTGGCGACTTGAACTTCCGCACATTTGTGCAAAGTTCTATGTCGAAAACAGACAGACAGACAGACACCACTGGTCGTCATCAGTTCAGATGACAGCTCGCCGTAAGCCCTCACCTGGCTGTATGAGTACGAGTAGAGTGCCTTAATCAGTGCAATATATTTTCTCGGAATTCCCTTTACAGCCAAGCATCTCCAGAGAACTCGATCGACAGAGTCGAATACTGCCTTTAAGTCAAGAAATATAATGACTGTTGGACGCCGGTAGTAATGCCTATGTTCTAGAATCTGTCGGAGGGTGAAGATATGATCAATACACCCTCTTCCTGGTCTAAAGCCTGCCTGGCTCTCTCGTGCTTGTGCCCCCCGAGCACCACTTAGTCTACGCATGATTATTGAGCCTAAGACTTTAGATACTATATTAGTCAAGCTAATCCCTCTGTGATTATCACAGGAAGACCTGTCTCCCTTCTTGTATATCGGGATAATCAGTGACTCTTGTAATTCATATCAAGTTGAAAATAATTATCACCTTTGATTCCCCTTTAAAATTATTTCTCCAGTTACCAAATATTAATTTTGCATACGTTGTAACTGTTTTCTAATCCTATGCAATCTTGTCTCTAAGCTCCTTGTAATCTATATTCGTACCTTCAAACTTTCATATCAAGTTGAAAATTATTATCACCTTCGTTACTATGTGAAATTAAACAAATAATATGCTGCTAAAACCCTGTTTCGCTCGAAGTCAATAAGAATAATGACATCCAGGGTAGAGGACTAGGAAGAAAAAAGCTGGTTTACTTCTTAACAAGAAATTACACAATGCAGTTGGTCAAAAATGTGTTTAAAATTTGCCCTCAAGTTACTATTTTTGAAATCGGTAGATGTCAAGTGAAACGAACGACTGGCCTCAAGATGGGGAATTGAAAATTCATTTATGTGTTGCTTTTAAGAGCTTTTATGCACTTGAAAGCACTTACTGCACTCACCCTATTTTTGTGCTATTAATTTTAATATATGCATATTCTATTCATCTCCTAATGTGCGTCGGTGGCATAGCGGTTAGGACGCTCGCCGACCATGCACATGGTCCGGGGTTCGATCCCCGGCCGGCGCACTCCTTTACCTCGCTAAGCCAGTAGTGAAATTGGTGAAGAGGGAAGGTTTGGAATGAGGCTAGCAACCCCATCCTGTAAAAAATAATCACCACTGTTACAGAAACTTCAGGCATCTAGCTTGAAGCCCTATGTTCCACTGGGAACGTGCAGGAAAACAAAATTCATCTTAATGTCTTCATCAACTTTATGGGTTAATTTAACTAGGAGGTTGGGAAGCATTCTGACATGATAGTGGGTATCCATGCATAGTTTTTGCTACTAATTAAACGTCCATTTTAATACTGAGGGAATGCAACAGCTTATGAGCCAGTGTAATTTAACTAAATCTACTACAAGAAACGCTGGAGATTAAGAAACCACAGCATTTAACTGAGATGCGGAACCCAATCACTGACCACAGTTATATAGTGTTAACAATGTTTCTTGTATGTATGCAGAGATAGTGAAAATATAAGTACCTAACTAAAACAACCTGAACAATGCTGTAGCCATTTGGTAACAACATGAAAAGCTGAGAGGTCAGCTATTATGGATTTGGTCATCCCCAGTGACTAACAAGAGAGTAGTGGTGAGTCTTTTTTGCTTCTGTAGTATAGCTGAGATGGATTCACTGTGTAAGAAATGGGACAACCAAACGACGTAATAATTAGAGGTCAGGAGTCTTCATGGACTTGAAACAACTACCATGTTTCATCTTATCGCGACAGCGACATAATTAGTTGTGATAACCTCAGGGATGAGTACAGAAATAAAACGTCACATCTTTACTGTTGGTGTGCGTTGTATGGTGATTCGGAGGTTGCTAGGTTGTGGCTAGCGATAAAGCCAGAAATACTGACGTGGGCAGTTTAACCCTTTTATGCTTCGCAGAGGTGGGAGAAAACACTCCAAAAATTTAGAAGACAACTACCTGTGTTCATATCCAAATAACGATATCACAATTCTGTTTAATGAATCTTAATTAACAGTATGAAGTTGGTAAGGAAAGACTACTTCATTAAAATTGTCTTAACCTTACTATAATACTGGATGGGACAGACTTTTACGAGAGAATAAACAGCATAGTGGTGCTTTGAAGTCATTCTCAAAATAATATAATTACAACAAAAATATACCTGCATAAAAACCAACTCCGCGAGATGCCATATAAGTTCCAGAGTTTGAATTAATTTTCCTTCAGCAGTAAGATGCATCGCTCTAGCCTCATCAATGCTATCCAAATTTTCTGAAGAGGTTAGTTTTTAAATTCTTACTTATAAATGAAAATATTTCGTTGGAACATGTAGCCAGAGCAGCTCTATAATGAATACTGTAATTAATACACCTAAAAACTAGCATGTTAAAGGTGTGTGACCTACGATTTTTGTAATGTATTCTCTTGCAGAGCCGAAAATATTTCTAATAACCTTAATATTACAACTGTAATCGACTTACCGAATGAGTGTTTAACGAGGCGCCTCATAAATTCATCATTATGCATTGAAGTGCTCCACCTAACTTCCTCAATCATCAAATCACCTGACTTCGCTTTAAAGGTATTGTCAGACTTCGTGAAGACACCCAGTGTATCCCCTGATAGCCATGCATGATTAAGGGGGCCACTGACATTAACCACAACATTACAGTCCACCATACCGACAGAGGATAGCGGCACAAATGGCTTATGGAGAGGCTGAGCACTTGAAGGTCACTTATGCACACTGTGATTGGTAGATTTTCTTTGGCGTGAACGTTGCGGCTAATACGTGTTGTACGTTACTGAGGCGGGCTTTGAAATAGCAATAATAAAAGCGGAGAGACATTATATTTTTTAGCTTTAGGGAGCAAGTTAACATGGTGACTCTAAAGAATAGCGGCCCAAACCGAAACGACCTTCGAACAAAAAAAAGACCTTGGGGAAGGAATCAGCTGACTGTATCATTGTCGGAAGTAATCATGGATGTTTTCGATTACTTTTTGGATAACGGACTGATAGCTTTGTCGAAAATTCGCCAATGCGGAGGAGTTATGCATATACAAAAATAGATAGAAGCCATTGATGGCTTTTTATACAGATGTATTGAGTGCCGAAGGAAGAAATCGGTTCGAGAAGGTTTGTCGTTGTTTTTTAGTTAACAGATCCCTTAGGAACTTTTCTCTCAAGGTCTAAACTACCTTTGACGAAAATTTTAATGATCTGTAACTTCTGGGTCCTGAAAAGAGCAGTCACAGCTACAGCTTATGAAACAGAAAATTCAGAGGTGTCAGCAGTGCAATGGTACAACTACTGCAGAGATGTTTCCTCCTGGAAAATGAACACCCTGACTCAAGTTCTCGGAGGAGTCGGCAGCATAGTCCATATCGATGAGACTGTACTTATAAAAAGGAAATACAACCGTGGGAGATTACAAGCAAACCAGTAGTGGATACTGGGTATCTACGACACGACACTGTGCAAAGGGTATATAGAAGCGATTCCCAGTCGCAGTGCAGCAGTATTAGTGCCTATTATTAAGCGTTTGGTGTTGCCGGGGACGACTATTCATACAGATGAATGGAGCGGATACCGTCAATTATCGAATCATGGGTACATTCACCATGTTGTTAATCATACGGACGGTTTCCGGAATCCTTTAGATGGAACCCACACCAGTTCCATTGAAAGTTTTAGGAGTCGTCTAAAAAGACGTATAAGAGCGGTTAATGGATCGAGAAATACCATGATTTACGGTTACCTGGATGAATTTATGTACCGAAACTGGTTTCATACGACTATGAAGACTCCCATGAGAAACTGGGAGGTTTTTTGAGACATATACGCGAGCGCCATCCTTTGTAACTGTTTATTATGATTGCATTACTTTTATACAAACCGTTTTTTACAATTATGCGCCTTCCTTTTTGAGCCTTCTCATTGGCCGAAGTTGTCCCTGTCAAGGTCATTTTTGCGTTGAAAGGTCGTTTCGGTTTGGGCCGCTATTCTTTAGAGTCACCAGTTAACATTTGTATAAATTCCACGGATGTGCTAAGCATTGAATCCACTTACAAGAAGAATATTACTGGGCAACTTAATTATAGAAATATATAGTTTGAAGATTTTATCTCTTTCAGTACTGGATGAGATAAAATCTTCAAACGTCGATTGTAATGGATGGATAAGTCACTTGCATAATACTTGCTTTTTACAGGGGACAAAATGTGACAGGTGATTTATAAGTTATACAATTTCTGAAATCCATAGATTTCAGAAATATATTCCACGATAAGTCGTGGAATATATGAACGACTAGTCTATAGAATTCCACCAGGTCTATGATTGTTGCCTCCCTTGTTCACATATTCAGTGTGACTAAGATAAGGAATTGTTCACTAGAGGTAAGATTAATTTATCTTATATGTATGCACCCTAGGATATTCCTCAATACGACCGAAGATATTCCAATATCCAATATCGTTTCTACGAGCTAGTATAAACAAGTTTGATTTCTTTGTGCTCGCTTCTTGATTGTAAGGTATAGGTTCCTGATCTTCGCTAAACTTCTGCGTAGCTTGTCCCGCCACTCGACTGTCGTAGCTTTGGTTGACTCCAAAGGGAGTAGTGCTGGGATTAATTATATGTGGTTTGTAGTATGAGGTATGTTAAGACTGTTACTACTGTGATTGGAGTTGATCCTTTCGCCAGTTAGTCCTTCGGTATCGTCGACAAGAGAGAAGAGATAGTCATAATAATAACAATAATAATAATGCTAATAATACATATAATTAGTGAAGTTATTCAGACTAAGAGACAGAAACGGAAATAGGAAAGCGTAACAACAGTCAGCTGATTAAGTTTGAAGAATAATGTATATATATATATGTATATATATATATATACATATATATATGTATATATCGGTGATAATAATAATAATAGTAATAATAATTATAATATTAACAAGTTGTCAGGAGAGTAAGATGGGAGAGAATGTAAAGAATCAAAACGACGAGTTTAATTGCCTACCCCTGGATGGCGTATGCGATTTTAACGAGATAGACCATTTGGATGCAGTCCTTGTGTCTCTGCATGGTTGTCCAGCCTTCGCTTAAAGGCGTCCAAAGACGGTGCCATAGCTACATCTGCCGGTAAGGAATTCCAGGGACGGCAAACCCGCAGTGAAAAGAAGTGGGAGCGCACCCGGGTCCTTGCCCTCTGGTGAGCTATCCTTCTGGGATTTCCACGTGGAAGCCTATACCTACTCAATGGCAGAACACCTTTGTTTGGGTGATTCTGGTCATTTGTTATTTTGTAGGCAGTAATCAAATCCCCCCTAAGCCGACGGTAACTAAGTGTGAACAGGCCTAATTTCTTCAGCCTTTCATCATATGGTTTGTTTCGGAGACCAACCACTCCTTTTGTTGCCCGTCGTTGGACTCTTTCCAAGAGGTTGGCATCTCTTCTCAGCATTGGGGGTGCAATAATATTATGCACCTCAAGGTGTGGCCTGACGTATGTTTTGTACAACATTAGAAAGAGCTCAGGAGTGAGTGCACCTAACTGTCTATGCGTAAAGTGTATGACCGCATATGCCCTCGCTACATCCCCTGTGTAATTTACGCTTGTGTCCATTTTTTCCGTTAGAACTAGACCTAAGTCGCGTTCCGACGTTGTGCAGGACAAGCTTTCATTGCACAGGGTGTAACTTGCATTCTGCAGTCTACAGGTGCGCAACTTCACTACTTTGCACTTTTTCAAGTTGAAAGTCATGCCACTGGCCACCGCCCAGTCTTCCAGAAGGTTTAGGTCTTCCTGTAGCCTATCTGAGTCCTCCATATCTTTACGTCGTCAGCGTACAGGAGAGTCGGGCAGCTCAGACGGCGTGGTAGATCATTGATGAAAATCAAAAACATCAGTGGTCCTAGGATAGAACCCTGCGACACTCCTGATGACGATCTGTGCCAAGATGATCGGACTCGGTTAACCTTAGTGCAAAATTGCCTGTCGGCTAGGTAGTCCTTCAACCATGACAGAAGTGGCTCACCTATGCCTGCCTGGCTTATTTTATGTAGGAGAAGGTCATGGTGAACAGTGTCAAATGCCTTCTCAAAGTCTAGGAAGACCACATGGACTGGTACGTTCAAGTCCCAGCATGATGTCCAGTCGTCCCAAGCTGACAGTAGGTTAGTGACGCAGGATCTGCCTTTTCTGAAACCATGTTGGGCTTCATGTAGTATATTAGTCCTATCGAAATATTCCCTGATGTGGTCGTCAATAATACTTTCCAGTACTTTTGATACCACTGGGAGTAGAGCTACTGGTCTATAGCTAGCAGCGTTTTGCCTGTCCCCACCCTTGAAGATTGTAGGAGGGATGGCTCTTTTCCACTCCCTTGGCAGGGTCCCCGAATCCATTGAGTGTTGGAACAAGTCGCACAGGGGTCTACAGAGAGCCTCGGCGCACTGTTTCAGAACAGATGGCCTGATGTCATCACAACCTGGGGACTTCCCAGGTATGAGTCGCTGTAGCTTCCTTAGTACTATTGCGGGGTTTATTTGGGGAGTAGTCGCTAGGTCTTCCTCCTCTGAAATAGTGGTGCCACCATTTTGGTCCGTAACTGTAATATCCACATTGCTGTTTAGCTGTTTAGCGAAGGCTGAACTGAATGTTTCAGCCATCTCCAGACTAGTGAGATATTGACCGTTTGGGCCTACTAAGGCGCATGCCCCTTGGTTTGTCGGTTTTCTTTCCGACATGAATCGGTACAAGTTTTTAGGGTTTGATAGGAGTTTTTTAGCAAGGTTAGCCTGGAATGACCTTCTGTCCCTCCTGACTCTTGCATTACACCGGTTCCTGAGTTCGAGGTATGCATCATGGTCGGTCTGACTCTTAGATACACGCCACGTAAACCAAGCCTTCCGCTTTGCTTGCAGAATACGTTGCGTGCCTCTCTTCAACCATGACGTCTTTCTCTTGGGCTGTGTTGTGACTAAAGGGACGGTATCCGAGATTGCTATATGAATAATCTTTTTTACCACTTCCCAGTGTTCATCCACAGATAGGTCGTCCCATGCTAAGGGCCAGTCTGCGTCGGACAAGAGCCTCCGCATTTCAGCATAGTCAGCCTTGCTGTAGCACAGACATGGTCGCGTAACATCCCATTGCAAACGCTCACGGAGGACAAGATCGAAACCTATGACTGCATGGTCACTGCTTCCCAGAGGAGTCATGATCTGGACCTTTTCGACGAGTAGCTGGTCACTAGTTAGAATATAATCTAGTTTTGATGACTTTCCACTAGGGCCCCACCTAGTGTCGTCTCCAACATTCTCAGTCAGTCCCGTGTTTCGAATAGTTTGCAGTAGGTTTCGGCCAAATTTTCCCTTAGCACACCCGGAGCCAAGGTTCAGTGATGGAGCATTGAAATCTCCAGCTATGGTGATTTGGTCGTAACCCAAATCTCGTATTCCTGTGATAGTGCTGAGCAGTAGCTGATTGTGCTCTGCCCCACAGGTGGGAGATCGGTAGATGCCACCCAGTAAGTGCTTGGTGTGGCCTACGGTGAAATGACACCATATGGAGTCTGGGAGTTCGATAAGTGGTGGGTCCGTTGCGCGCACACATTTAAGTTGCCTATCAAAGTATATAGCAACTCCCCCTCCTTCCTTATTATCCCTGTCTCTCCTGACCAGTACCATATCACCTATACTGATTTCATTGTCGGCGATAGTGGGGTTTAGCCACGTTTCAGTGAGAATGATTATTTTCAGTTGAAGGTGTGCTTGGAGATTTCGGAGTTCACCTACTTTTCCTCTCAGCCCCCTCACA